GTTCCATGTCAATAAAAATGGGGCCTATGTTGACACTTCAGCATTTAACAGAGTTATTAACGGTTTGTGTAACGGAGGAGAAAATTTGTAGGTTTTCCCTGACTTTGAGTATGTACTTGTAAATGTCCCCAAAGATGGGTATGAACTTAAAAATGACCCTATAGTTGGGGTGGTCTCTTTTGTAGTTTGTCCTTTTAATTTTGTATTAACATACCATAAGTGTTTTCTATTAATTTTTAAATCCAAAGTTATGTAATTATCAGGTATTTCCTTAGAATCTGATTATTGAGAGTTTTATAACATCTTATTTTATAAAATCAGTTATTAGAATTTATCAAAATCTAACTGCAGTTTCCAACCATTTGATCTCAGTTTGTGCAACAATCCACATCTATCTCGGCATGGTTCTTGCAAATTAAAGAAGAAGCACAATTTCATTATTCCCATAGTAGTGCCAACCGCTGGAATTTCCATCCTCTTGTTAGTTGCAGTAGCTATCTGGTGGTGGAGCCTCAAAAGGAATAGGCATGAGGGTAAGACTTCCAATATATGTTAAAGTAATTTCTTTCGGCGATAAATATGAAGACTGAACGTTTTGGTTGTATAAGATACATGCTCATTAAACTTGTCATGTTTTTAGGAGGAGATGTCATAGATGAAAAAGCAAGCCCTCAATACGGGTCATTAGAATCAACAAAGCGACAGTTTACATATTCTGAGATAATAAAGATGACCAACAACTTTGAGAGGGTTCTTGGCAAAGGTGGATTTGGAACCGTTTATCATGGCTACATGGAACATACTCAAGTGGCTATAAAGATGCTTTCAGCATCATCTGTTCAAGGGTTCCAACAATTTCATGCAGAGGCATGTTTGTCAAATTAAATAAACTAACACAATGTCTTTAGCTCAATCTTATGTGATGAATTGACATGTGTTTATTTGTGGGCTCTTATATTGCAGGTTAATCTTCTTATGAGAGTTCATCATAAAAACTTGACAGGCCTTGTTGGATATTGCAAAGACGAAACCAACGTAGGGCTTGTCTATGAGTATATGGCCAATGGAAACTTATTGAACCATCTTTCAGGTTTGACTGCAAGTAGTACTTCCAAATTTTTGGGAACTCTGTAACTTAATTCTTGCACCACCATATGATTGGGGCTCCTTTGTAAGTTAAGACAGAAAGAAACAAGGCTTACACTCCTGTTCTTCTTATGGTTGCAGATAGCAGATCACGTATCTTGATTTGGGACGATAGACTTCGAATAGCAACAGATATTGCACAAGGTCTGCAACTAATAAAATGATTTTCATGATCCTTTTTTTAGCAAGAATCTCTTTTATTTGTTTGAAGTTTTGTGTGAGCGATGCAAGAATTTTAAAATGCAGGATTGGAGTATCTGCATTGTGGTTGTAAGCCGCCTATAATGCACAGAGATGTGAAATCAACAAACATCTTGCTGAATGAAAATTTCCAAGCCAAAATATCTGATTTTGGCCTGTCTAGAAATTTCCCTACTAATGATGGAACTCATGCATCCAGCCTTCTTGCTGGCACTCCTGGCTACCTTGATCCTGAGTAAGTATTTCGTACTTATAATTTTCCCATTATTAACTAAAACAGCAAGTCCGGGAATTTCCCTAGTAGTACTTAAATTCGCAACAAGTCTGGGAAGCAAACACAAATTAACTAAAACAGCAAGAAGAATTAGGAAAGAAAAAAAAGTGGACATTTTAGCAACGTCCTTTGCATCAGAAAATGTGATCTGATGAGTTCCATGTATATACGGTTTGGCTGGCAGGTTCTACCTATCAAACAGGTTAAATGAGAAAAGTGACGTTTATAGCTTTGGGGTTGTGCTGTTGGAGATTATCACAAGCAGACCTGTTTTAACGAGGACGCATGAGAGAATTCACATAAGTCAATGGGTTGGTTTCATACTTGCAAATGGAGACATTAACAACATCGTCGATCCAAGGTTAGAGGGAGATTTCAATACCAACTCCGTCTGGAAAGCTGTGGAAATAGCAATGGCTTGTGTATCCATAAATGCCATCAAGAGGCCAAGCATGAGCCAAGTAGTGGTGGATTTGAGGGAGTGTTTGGCAACAGAATGTGCTCGAACAAATCATAGCCGTGTAGCTGAATTGGATAATTCCAATGCGTTAATGGTTGACAATTCGATCGTTAGGCTAACTCCCTCCGTGAGGTAGTACTGGTACGAGTACATGATGCTTCTGCTTGAGTTCCATTATGCCTTTGTAGCTAATCATGAAAAAAAGCATGAATTCGGGCTCTTGTTTTGGCTCTGTTCTAGACTTCTAGTATTGATATAAGTTCTTCATATCGCAGAAGTCAGGCTTCATCTTCCAAGTTTGTAATCTTCCATATTTCTTGGATGTTGCTCAAGTGCATGAATTAGGCTTCTTGTTTGATCTATGTTCTTGTATTAACTTAAGGTCATATTACCATAAATATTAGGCCCCGTCTCCAAAGTTTTCAATTTTCTTGCGTATTGTTATGTTTACATTCTCTTGGTTTAATTTTAATTTTAATTTTTTTGTAAAGCTCGATGGTAGGAGGAAAACTTAATCAAAAACTAGAAAGAAGTAGGAAACTATGTGATTCCAATTGCAACTATCCTCAATCAAGACTTTATGAATAATGTCTAGAGGCATTTCAAACCACTCGTAAGATTGATCGATTTACTGGGACAGACTCGTGGGGCTTTTTGTTAAGTTTCTAATTCAAGTACATCCCTACCCGCACCCAATTACACAACCTGAAATCCAAGCATCAGTTTGAGAATCTCAGATGTGCGAGAAAATTTCTAACACAAAAAGAGTTGACAATTACACCAGTCTTACTCGTGGAAAATGTCCAATGGGTAAATTAATAATAATCAATGGGCTATTAACAATTGATCATGGGATAAGAACTTTCATTCTAGAATCACCTTAATTATAGTTTAGCCACTCTAGTTGGCCAGTGATTGAAGCCTAATATTATATCAATGGGAAATTTGTGCACATAATATATTTCACATACGACTTTTTCGAAGTTTCGACAGTGACTAGCTACCGTGCAGCAAAGATATGTATACCAAACCATTCTAGTACTGATAATATGTTTTATTAGCTAATGGGATACTTCACTTTCTAGCATTACTCAGTCAAGAAATATATCTTACCTAATAATAATTATAAAAATATTGGTGTTTACTTAGTTTTGACATTTTTAGAAACCGATGTTGACACAAAACTTTGGTTAAAGAAATCGATGTTGTTTCTGTAAAAGACATCGGGTTTTCCTCAATGCCTTTTACAACCCCCTTTAGCATCATCTTACGAGGCATCGGTATGTGATAATAAAAGGCATCGGTTTTTCCCCGATTCCTATTAGCCTTTTTGTAGTAGTGCTTATGACTCTCTCTCCCTCCCTAGCCAAAAACAAAATGACAAATAATAATAATAATAACTGTTAATGTATGGTTTTTACTATTTTCTTTTGGCTTCCCTTGACAACTTTGTAATAGGATGTGTAATGTAATTTATCAAGCTCAAGTCTAGATTAGGGAAAACTTTTATTGGTGCTCTTCTCTAATCTCTGCTCTATGGTGGCTCAAGCAAGTTGACAAAGGTATTGAGCATTGCATATCATTACATTAAACAATCTTAATAAAATGATGACTAGTCATCCATTTCTCATATGACTAGTCATCCTTGCTTCCAGCTGGATAACAAACTGTTTTGTCCTATTCTTCTTTCTCTCTCTCTGCTGCCAAGTGGGTTTCTGACTTAAGGAATTTTTTGGTCTGTAAAGGCCACGATTTCTCATTTGGCAGTTGTCTCTTTTGGGGAGGAAGTTTTGGAAAGATTGGCTTGCGATCTTTCTCTTCTTCTTCCTCAAGAGAGAACCAAATATTTCATCTATGAGTTTTTCCAATTGATATCTTTTTGAAAAACTGCTTTTGAAACCCGAATCTACATCTAGCTACTTAAATCATTTCTCATTTATATCTAGGTCAGATTCAAGATTGATTTCTTCAAGAGTATGGTTTCTTGAAGAAATTGGTCTTTCTCCTTTGAATCCAAATTGGTTTCGGTTTGTGTTGGAGCTTGCAAGCTAGTGCCATGGGATGAACGAGCTGGAGAAGGAGCTGCCATTGCCATGAAGGACTGAGCTTCAAGCTTTGCTAAGTTGGAGAAGAAGATTGCACAAAGGAGGTATTGCTCATATTCCTACATAGACCTAGGTGCTTCTTGAGCTTGGTTGTGTTTCCTTTGTAAGAATCTTTTTCTACTTAGTGGAGTGCCTGGTCGGTTGATGACTCCCAGTTTTTCCCAATGGTGGGTTTCTGGGTGAACAAAATCTATTTTGCATATCTGTAATTTTTTCTGGGTTTGTGTTCTTGGTGGTTGACTAGTCATATTTATTTGTTGTTTGATGTTTACATGATAATGATGATTTCACACACTTTCACCATAGTTGTTGCTAGCACATGGGATGCCTAGATTGACGGGTCCTTCTGAGTGCCTAGGTTGTCACTAGTAATTTTCTAGGATTGCAGGTACATTGTGGCATGCTCTGTGTATTCTCTTGGTTGTGATTGTTTCATGACTAGTAGTTGACTAGTCATATGTGTATTTGGTCTAGGTTTAAAGTGTGTGAAGATTGCTGTGTTGTTGTGTCTTGTTTGTGTGATTAAATTTACCCCTCGTCACCTAAGTACCATTTTCAATAACACATTTTCTTTAGGTAAAAGTAAAAAGAGAACTACTTTCATTAAGTGCCCATTTGACATTGCTTATTTGGAGTGATAAGTGATTTTAAAAAAAATTGGGAAGCTCAGCCCTTTTGGTAAAACCATGAGAAAATCACTTATTGTTGAAAATTGATATGAGAGAAAGCTATAAAGGAAAACAACTAATGAGGTGCTTTCATTTTCTGATTATGCGGGAATCAGTTTTGAAGAGGTGTTAGGTTTAATAATTATGCAAGAATCATTTTCTGATTATGCAAGAATTAGTACCAACAACACTTTTAATAAAAAGTTTATCAAACACCAAACTGCTTTATCTCACAGTTGATTTCTCCCACAGAAAATCTAACAGCGATTATTTTCACAGTACAACAATACCAAATTGGCCATAACTAGTCAATAATCAATTATTAATGTCTAATAATCAATTATTTTACAAGCCTTCCACATCAAGCCCAAATTTTCCACACGGCAAGCCAAATTGGTCATACTCACAGCTAGAACATGGCATTAATTGTGACATGGACAGGTATGTCCACGACGACCAAGTCAAAGTCAATGCTCAATATTCAAGCAGAAAGGGAAATTTGCATAAATACCACCTAAACTTTTAGGTATGTGTGTCATTACCACATGAACTTTTAATTTTTATTTTTAACCACCTGAACTTTGTAAAGTGTTGTAATACAACACCTATGTCTAGCTCCGTTAAAATTTCCATTAAATTTAAGGGTATTTTCGTCAATTAACTGACAAAAATGAATTATAAAGAAACAGAATTTAAAAAATAAAATTCACCAAATTATACTCATTACCCTAAACCCTAAACCCTTTCCCCCACCACACCCGACCACAAACACTCTGCTTTTGTCTCTTGGATTATCAAACCCCTTCTTCTCAAACCTTGAGATTATCTCTCCCACAAGTCCATGCTGACAGCGATTATTTTGACAGCACAATAATACCAAATTGGCCATAACTAGTCAATAATCAATAATTTTACAAGCCTTCCACATCAAGCCCAAATTTTCCACAAGGCAAGCCAAATTGGTCATACTCACAAGTAGAACATGGCATTAATTGACATGGACAGGTATGTCCACGACGACCAAGTCAAAGTCAATGCTCAATATTCAAGCATAAATACCACCTCAATTTTTAGGCATATGGTCCAAATTCAACTTAATCTCTCTTTTTTCAAGAAAAAAAAAGAGAGAAGAAATTTCATGAAGAACTTATCAAACAATTACATCATCATCAAGGAACGAGCAAAGCCAAGAGGGGTCTATCCTTGTACACCTCCACTCAATCCAATCCAATAGTCGTATCAGAGCACTTAATAAATTCCAACAATTTGTATCAGAACTTTGTTTGATCATTTTGGGCGTAAGGGCTGATTCTAATCCTTTATCAGGGAGGGCTATTCGAACAACCTTGGGTGTAAGGGCTGGGATGAGGGAGAGCATGTGTAGTGTAGATAGATAGTTATCTCCCCTCTACTTGTATTTGTAGATGGTGCTTTTTTTTTTTCCTAGCTGATTTTGTGCTAGGCTTCTATTTCTCTTATGGTTTGTGTCGTCCGCTAATTGTTTTATGGTCAACCTACCGACCTTTTAGGTTGGATCTTTGTATATTTGTGAAGATCTATCGTTCTTTTGGTCTCTGATGTATTGTCCTTCTAATTGTGCTCAATGTTGTGCTTTCAAATGTTAAAGAAACCATGCAAACTAACTTATGCACAGAACAGAAAATTCTACCAATAACCAAAAGAAATTACAAACAAGTGTTCGTGCACAAATTAACTAAAGTTTTTACACCACTTGAAAAATGGACTTTGAGACATGAGACAAAAAGCGTAGGCTTGACTTATGTTATTTTTATATATAAAATGATATCCATTCAACACAAAATACTTACTTAAGTTTGTGTCTTTATTGCTTCCCTTGTAGTCATGTCGGGGACGTCCAAGCAACCCCTCTTTCTGGTTGCTGGTTTCGCTCTTAATCTGATGCTGCTTGTTCATTCCCAAGATAATCAATCAGGTAAATATATCAGCAGCCAGAAAAAACAAATCGTTAATTTTGGTAGCATAGTATATATAGCTAAGATATATACCTGTATTTCTTACATATATGTGTTTTAATATATCTCAGGATTCATTAGCATAGATTGTGGCCTCCAGGCGGATTCAAGTTATTCTGAACCGGACACTGGCATTAAGTACATTTCCGATGCAACCTTCATAGACACCGGTGAAAGTAAATCCACATCACCTAGTTACAGAGAGTATCAACAGCGATACAGGTCTGTTAGGAGCTTCCCCGAAGGAGCCAGGAATTGCTACAAGATAAATGTTACACGCGGCAACGAATATTTGATCCGAGCAAGTTTCTTATATGGGAATTATGATGACCAAGATAAGATACCAGAATTTGAACTGCACCTTGGACCTAATTTGTGGGATACGGTTAGGTTTGAAAGTGCCTCCGATGCAAACATGGACAAAGAGCTCATATATGTCCCACTCCGAAACTATATACATGTTTGTTTGGTGAACACAGGCTCTGGGGTTCCATTCATATCTTCTCTGGGACTCAGGCCTTTACCTAATGCAACTTATCAAACGACAATGGGGTCATTGGCACTTGTCTCCCGATATGACACGGGCGAAACACCTGATGGGACAGGATACAGGTGAGTCGTCTCCTAGCTAACTATGAGTTCCACATATATATATATATATATATACACACACACACACACACACACACATATGTGTGTGTGTTTGCAATCCTTGAAACTTTTAATTTTGATTATATTCTGATGGAACTTTGGCTTTGATTAGATATCCATTCGATATTCATGATCGATACTGGGATAACTATGACTCCGATGATTGGACACAATTAAACACCTCATCCACCATCAAATCTGAATCTGACGAACCACCATCTGAGGTTATGAGTACTGGTTCAACGCCAAAAAATCCAAGTGATTCCTTGAGTATTAATTTCTCGTTGCCAGACATAAATGCGCAATATCAAAATTACCTGTACTTTGCAGAAGTTGAAAGCCTCCAACTCAACCAATCTAGATGGCAATACATTTTTAAGAACGGAGAGAACATTTATGGGCCACTTGCTCCTCAATACTTGTACATAGATACCATTTACAGCCCTAACGCTTGGAGCACTGATGTAAGCGATGTAAATTTTTCAATTACCAAGGCTGAGAACTCTACCCTTCCACCTATCCTCAATGCTATTGAGATTTATGTGGTTAAACAGTTCGGAGAAGCAGAAACAAACCAAGAAGATGGTAACCACTAACTAATTAGTTCTTCCTTACACAAGTGACTTCCTCTCGTTTAGTACCTTGCCAGTATGGAAGTGTACATATGAATTCTTCTGATGAAATCTTCTGTTTGCGTGTGAAAATATTAGTTGACGCAATCGCATCAATCAAGTCAACTTATAATATTAAAAGAAATTGGCAAGGAGATCCATGTGCCCCTCAAGATTACGTTTGGCAAGGAGTAAAGTGTAACTACCAAGAATTTGAGTTACCAAGAATCATATCCTTGTAAGTATATGTGACTTCAAACAAACTTCTTCTGATATTTGAGTTAATTCTACCTCATGTCTTCACTAGTGAAGTTACAAAACATACAATCAGGAACTTGTCCTCGAGTAGCTTAACAGGGGAGATAGCTGCTTCTATATCCAATCTCACAATGATACAGTCTTTGTAAGTATATATGTCTTACTGAATTTGCTAAACGAGTACTTACCAATGTAATGAGAAGGTAGACAATCAGTTTAATTTAAATGAATTGAGCTGCTCATGATTTCAGGGATCTATCAAACAACAACTTAACGGGACCAATTCCAGAATTTTTGTCTAAATTCCAGAATTTGACTGTCCTGTAAGTTATTTGGTTATGTGTCTAAAGTACCGTAAATGCTTAATTTGTTATAAAGCACCGTGACAGATTTTATCTTTTGCAGAAACTTGGAGAAAAACAAGTTCACAGGCTCGGTTCCGGTAGGATTGATTGAAAGCAAGAATAATGGTTTTCTAGTATTAAGGTATGCCTTTCTTAGTAAATCAAGCCCTTCAAATTCAGTGTTTGGCTCACCCTAAAATTGAGTCTTTTCTATTTTAATTTGGACAAACTACAAAAAAGACCCCCCCAACTATATAGAGGATCATTTCAAGTTCATATACACACCTTTGGGGACATTTACAAGTACATAGTCAAAGTCACGGAAAATACCACCCAAGCTGTTTGGTTTGAGTGGGGTGGGGTTTGCATCGGGGTGGCTTCAGTGGTGGTTGGAAGGGGTGGGTTGCTGATGGCGTCGCTGGGTAGGAGGAAGGAAGATATTTTTTGTCTTCTTTTCTCTTTTCAATTTTTAAAAAGTAAAGAATCTTTTTATTATTTGTTTGTCCATCTGGAGTTCCATGTCATTAAAAATGGGGCCAAATGACCCAATAGTTGGGTTGGTCTTTTGTAGTTTGTCCTTTTAATTTTCTATTATCCTTAGAATCCAAAGTTATATAATTATCAGGTATTCCTTAGAATTTGATTATTGAGAGTTATATAACATATATTTTATAAAATCAGTGATTAGAATTTATCAAAATCTAACTGCAGTTTCCAACCATTTGATCTCAGTTTGTGCGATAATCCACATCTATCTCCACATGATTCTTGGAAATTAAAGAAGAAGCACAATTTCATTATTCCCATAGTAGTGCCAACCGCTGGAATTTCCATCCTCTTGTTGGTTGCAGTAGCTATCTGGTGGTGGACCCTCAAAAGGAATATGCAAGAGGGTAAGACTTCCAATATTTGTTAAAGTAATTTCTTCGGCGATAAATGATGAAGACTGAAGGTTTTCGTTATATAAGATACATGCTCATTTGTGTCAGCATAAGTATTCACTCACTCGTCTCTTATTCTTTTTGTTTTTTGTTCTGAGGGCTAGTCTAACTACATACGTTTCATAACCAGCTGATGCAAAACCTAAACATTTTTTGTTGAATTATAAGTGCTTAAGTTGATTTCAGGATTAGGAGTTTTGTTTTCAGGTTAGTTGTATTTCTTTATACTTAGTCCAGGTGTCATAGCTTCATTGGTTAGATAGTGAATGGCTGAGATTGCTTAGATGAATTGCATCCAGCTGGTATTGTGCTAACGACTATATTCTTCTCACACCAAGAGTGTGATATATTGTACTGAACACTGAGTAATGAGAATGTTCTCTCGGCTACACGTATAGCAGAGCAGCCTTGGATTTCATCAGACTCTCTCTCTCTTCTCTCTTATCTCCAAATCATATTCTAAGATCCTAAAACTCTAACATGGCCTCAGAGCCAGGTTGCATCATCCAAAAGCTGGGCGTTGTTCTGTGAAGAAAATCGATCAAGGTGTGCTCATTCTAAGCTCACGAAGCTGACTGAGTTTGATCAAGGGTCGAATCTGAAAACATCTTGTTTTCAGGTGATTCTGAAATACGTAATGGCTGGATCTGGAAGTTCAGAGGCTAGAATCCCCATTTTCTCAGGTGAGAACTATGAATTTTGGAGGATTAAAATGGTAACCATTTTCAGATCATATGGTTTATGGGGTTTGGTAGAGAAGGGGTTCTTAATCCCAGATTCAAAGACGAAGCAGGAATCTGAGGATGGTTCAGAAGAAGAAGTTGATGAGAAAACAGCTGCGATTCTCATGAAGGATGCGAAGGCTTTGGGTATCATTCAATCTGCTGTTTCTGATCAGATTTTTCCCAGAATTGCCAATGCTGACTCTGCAAAGATGGCTTGGAATCTGCTATATTCAGAATATCATGGTGGAGAGCATGTTAGATCGGTAAAGCTTCAAAATCTTAGACGTGAATTTGAATACACTAGGATGCGTGATAGTGAAACCTTATCTGAATATCTTACTAGACTAACTGATTTGATTAACCAAATGAAAACATTTGGTGAAGTTCTGTCAAATGAGAGGCAGGTTCAGAAGGTGTTAATTAGTCTAAGTAAGAAGTATGATCCTATATGCACTGTGATTGAAAACACAAAGACACTAGAAACTGTGGATTTGCAGGAAGTAATTGCAATTTTGAAGAGTCAGGAGCAACGGCTTGAAATGCATAGTGTTGATACAGCTGAGAAGGCATTTGCCTCATTCACTGTGAGTGCAAAGGGTCAGAACAAAAACACTTCTCAGTCTGGTTCATCTAAGTCACAGAAAAGCTGGAATTCTAAAGGGAAGTCATGGGAGGCAAAAGACAAGTCACAGCAGAATAATTATTCTGCACAGAACCACACTTCAACTCAGTTCTCAAATCAGGAAAACACAAAGCCTCAATGCAAGGTGTGTTCAAAGCATCACTTTGGTGAGTGCAGGTATAAGGGAAAACCAAAATGCTATAACTGTGACAGATTTGGACATCTTGCTAGGGACTGTACAGTGAGCAAAAATGTGCAGAAGGCTAATTGTGTAAATCAAATGGAGGTAACAGGAAATCTGTTTTATGCAAATTGCTCAACCACTGAGATCAAAGCCAATGAATGGTATATTGACAGTGGCTGCAGCAATCATATGACAGGAAATTTAGAATTACTGGCTGATGTGAGAACTAATGTAGCTGGGAAAGTACAAATGCCAACTGGTGCACTAGTGAGTGTAGCTGGTATTGGTTCACTGAGTATTGATACAGCAAAGGGCAGGAAATACATCAGAGAAGTTATGTACCTGCCAGGATTGAAAGAAAATCTGCTAAGTGTTGGGCAGATGGATGAACATGGGTATTGTCTGGTGTTTGGAGAAGGAATGTGCAGGATATTTGATAGTCCATCCATGGATTACCTCATCACA